CCTGACGAGCGAGGTAGTTGACAGATGAAACAATGCTACGTGCGTGCAAGGCTCCCTCTGAGCGTGAAACGAGCCGCGACGACGCTCGCGCTTTCAGGCTTTCGAATGCCTCGAGAACACGATCCGAATGTTCTGAACGAGAGTGAAGACCATGTACAGACTTTGGTGCAGAAAGAAGATAGTGATTGTCGAGTTCCCCGACTTTTCCCTCCAATTTCAGGCCTAGTGCTGTAGCGACATCGTCCAGCGGTGCGCCTGCGTTGACTAGAGGGCTGTGTTCTACAACATAATAGTCACGAGTGTCGTAAGAACGTTTCGCGGTTGACGCTCCAACCAGGGAGCAGTGAGCGAAGAGGGCAGCAGCAGCAGTCCAGAAGAAACGCATCGTGGAGGAGAGAGCAAGGTCTGATCAACGGACCTTGGTGGTGGTGGGTGAAGCTGAGTGGCCTGAAGAGAAAGCGCAGTCGCGGTGGGAGGATCAGGTCGTATAGGTGCCTACGCCAAGCGAGCACTGCCACGGCGTTGGTGCTGAAACATCAGCGAAAAATCAAACAACCATCATGATTCAGAAAGTTAGAAACACTTCGGCCGTCGGAAGGAAGATGATGTCTCAGTCTGACACAATCTGATATGCCGATGTGGTGAAACGAGCGTCCAAGCTGTTGTACATAATCTGGAGAGAAAAGGGCAAGTTATCAATCAGTATTTGTATCGGACGAAATTGCCAAATAGTCTATATTTAGCACTCCCTTGTACACTTATTATAATTTTGAATTCGAATGTCAATCGTGTCAATAGCACATTTCTCGACTGCTCCATTTTATATGCAAAATCTGAAATATATTTACGATAGTTTCGTATATTATTTCAATATACACATGGATGGACGATGAACTACTCTTTAGTGCCATACGTGGCCAGCCAACTATGGACTTCCCCGTCCTCTGCGAATTTATCTGCGTTCTCCGACACAAGAGCTCTAAACTCGCTCCTAGATAGCTCAAACGGTACCAAATCCTCGCCTAACACTGCAGCTGCTTCTTTGCGAACGATTACTTCCTTGTCGAACTGCACTGTCTGCTTCTTCAATATTCCCACTGTCAATGCGTGGTAGTAGTTATCTGAAAAAGGCTCATCTTCATCATCCTCGCCAAAGATGTAATCAAACAAGTCTTCGTAGAGAACGTTGAACATCATAGGGTCTTGCATACACATCTGGAATAGATATGGTCCACGTGGATGAAGTCTAGATTCTGAAGCAAGCATAAGCCTATCAAAAGTCGCTTGATCTTGCACATTCCTTGTTTTCAATGGATGATCATCATCCAAAAATGGGTGATCAACAATGAAAAGAGGATAATGCGCAAAACCGGAAGTAGGGAAAGTGGTAGTAAACTCCCGGTCTATTACAGCGCTTATACATGGCAACGAAGAATCGATATCGGTGACCATGATGTTTTGGGAATGAAAGTCGCCAGGAGTAATGGGGAATCCAGAAGCGTCGAGAGAAGTATCATAGAGGGATGGAATGATCGAGCGCATAAACCAGACCATAGCATACTGCATTGATTTGCTGATATAACCAAAATTATTGTCATGTATGTCTTGCAGCTTTGCGTTGGCATAAGTTATCCAATAGTCAACTGAGCTCGTATACGTTCGATGTGATACAGCACGTAGCACGCTAGAATCATCGATATCTATGACTGTCGACATAGGAACGATATGCCAAGTAGGTTTACTGGCACCATCCCCCTTCATAAGGGCCCCAATGCTGTCAAAACGGAGTGAGGAAAGCTGTAGTATAATATCAACAACTTGCTGCAGCACAACTTCCCGCTTGCTATCATCCATGTCCTTCCACACAGAGCACAGCGGTACACCGTCTACTTTGGTCATCAAGATATACGGCGATCCTACACCTCCACCATCCCTATCGACGCTATGTCCAACGACGCGGGGAATAAGGATACGACTGTGCGTTGCAATGTACTCCATGGTAGCGACCTCGCTGCAAATGCGACCGCACAAGGCGTCTGCGCGTTCATCGGACATCCCATCCACCGGTTGATATGGGACGCGAGCGACAAGTACTGTGTTGTTGGTGTCGTCAAGATGGAGAAAACGAACAACGTTAAAGCCCCCAGAAAGTAATTCGCCCCAGGTCGCTGAGCTGACTTGATAGAGTTGGCATGCGATGGTGGAAAGAGTATTCCATTTGATAGCTTTTACTGTGAGGTCCAGACGGGGATCGTCATTAGAGAGAGTGGATGATGAGCTCGCCAAATCCGAAACCGTCATTGAAGTGAAGAAACGCTGTCCTTGAGTCGCTCACTGAAAGATATAAACTACTAACCGCAGACTTTGAGGTATTCTATAAAGTTTAAAGCGAGAGCTGCCGCAATGAGGACTCAAGAACTATGCCTTTGATAGAGGTTTCACTCGTAACACTTCAGCCCCTGATATCTTCACTCTAAGTTGTCATTCAATTGCTCCAAGACATAAAGTAACCGCGAATATTGTGTTGTTATAGTTATCTTACCTTGATAAGATTCTATAAAGTCTAAAGCAAGAATTCCTGCCAGTTGTAATTGTAGCTGAACATGCCGGTGCGGTGAAACCAAGGTGAAACGAGCGTCGAAGTTGCGTAACCTAGAGCGAAAAAGGGCTTATTAGTATTTGTATCGGACGGAACTGCCAAATTTTCTATATTTAGCATACGCGTCAACTCGCGTTGTAGAGACCTTAATCTTGAACTCGAACATCAATCATGTTGGTAGTGCATTTCTCAGTTGCTCTATTTCATATCCAAAATCTGAATTATTAATCAAGTTACAGCATAATCGCAGTAATATTTAATGTGTTTTAGTCTGTGTGGAGATTGTGCCACTAGCCTAGAGGAAGTGCTCGATTGCGACACACTCGCTCATGTCAGCGACCTGGTCCCATCCCCAAGTGAGCGAACAGCTCTAATATCAGGCATACATGAGAATATGTCCGAACTTAAGGATTTAATGCGACGGCTAAATCTATCTCGAGTAGTACGGAGACTTTAGTATGGATCTTTTCCCTTTCTTGTACGGAAATGAAAGGAATCAAGATCAGACTAATAGTCTTAACCACTATTTATGTGCTATCAGGTATTCATAGCTCTTGGTGGGATATATTTTCCTCTAAGCTAACCTCGTGGAACAGGATCTGCACTACTATCTCGCATATTAGGCTACTAGAAGTTTTTTTACTACTAGAAGACTGGATAGATAAGACTGGATCATGTTCCATCAAAAATGTCTATTTTATTGGAGATCGGTTCCGAGGGTATAGGACATAAACTATTATTCAGATTTGCCAGGCAAATCAACAGGTTTTGATACTCTCGCTTCCCACTCTGAACGTTGGAGTCGATGGAATTCTACTAAGGACTCTCAAAGTCCTTCAATAGGAAAGTATCTTCTGTCATCCTTTCCACTCGCAGAAGCATTTCCTACGATCTGGAAGCTTGTGACGGTGGTGTATGATGATTTAAATATATTCACCTTCAGGAACTATTTCAAGCAGCTCTTAGCATAGAATACACGATGCAAAAGCTGGATCTGCTTCAATAGTCCCAACTACGCTCTATATGTCGATTGCCGTAGAAAGAACCAGCATGTCTGTGGCTTTACGTCCTCGGATTCAAAATTTCAGTGTCATGCAATGGGTATTGAAATGTAAATCTACGATGCACGGCGGACCAGTCATGGAGCACACAAAACGTTCTTTGCCCACAAGTTAATGACCTCTCCATTTTTATGTACGACTGCCCACCATACTCACCACTGAAAACGATATGCACTCCACCAATGCGTCCATCTCTCATGGATGATAACGCTGGATTTCCCTACTATATGTGAACTGTGATGTCGTCGATCGAGTACTTAATTACAGTATAGCATTATAGTCGGAGATTATTCGTACGGCTATTTATGCACAAATTTATGTATTTTCTTCTGTAGCCAGGGATCTAAGAAAGTACAATGTCAAAATTGTGAGTGATGATTTAAAATTTAAAAAAGTTATCTCTACAGTGTTCGCATGTAGATAGTACAATACTCATTCATAAACTATATTCGGGTATGGTGTAACGGCTAACATTGCCGCCTCTCATTTCCAATGGAAGCCGGATCGCGGCAGCTCGGGGTTCGATTCCCCGTACCCGAAATTTTGCTGCTAATTCTTCTTTTGTAGAAGAATCGCAGTGATACAATATTTATCTTTTAACTGAGGACCTTAATCCTATTATTAGCAGTGGTAAAGAAAGTTCTGACATGACCTTCAGTACTGCCATACTACCCAAGCCGGACGATCATGAGCTGAGGAGGTATTTAAGACGCAATCGTCTCACTTTTGTCCTCCCAATAACTTTCTGGGGGAAATGAACAGAAATGGGTCAGTGAAGGTACAAAAGAAGAAGTGAAATCGATTCCATGTCAGATGCTAGTAAACTGAGACTTCTATTTCTATCTAAATCACATCTGCAATGTTGAATACAGACATGCTACACAACCAGTGGCTGCGTACCATTCTGCCATATTCGCTGGTATCATATATACAAAAAATTATGCTTGGAGGCGTGTGGGACTTGCGTTTTCAAGGATTGGTATACCAGAGAGGAGCATAATATTTGACGCAGAGATTTCGTGCATAGAGCATCGGAAAATTTTCCACCACCAAAAAAAACTTTTGTAAATGATAATTGGAATGAGTAATGGGAATCGAACCCATTCAAACCACCTTTGGAGGTGAAATCTCAGCAGAATTACTACTGGCAGCGCCCCATTGCGCCATATTCGCCTATATAAAAGGTGCGGGGAGTGTACTTTGTTAGCGCTTTTGTGATTTGACTACCGAGAAGACAACTCGACAAATGGAATGCTTGTTCAAATGCCAGAAAATGTGTGCGTACATTGGAGATAGTCTCTAAAGAACGATAAAAATCACATTGCAACGCCGCAGACCCAAGCGAATAATGGGATTCGAACCCATATCGACCACACACAAAGATGCGCATTTTGTACAGTACATATGGTTGCAGGTTGCATATCCATTCTGCCATATTCGCCTTAGAGATGAATGACATGCATTGTTCTTTATCAAGGAGATAATTTGTATTTCAGAATTTTGAGAATGGTTTCCCATTACTTCATTTTTGGAGGCGTAGATTTTCTCTACAATACATATTCTCAAAAAGTCATCGTGAATACAAGCAAGATAAGCGAATACAGGGAATCGAACCCATTACCAGGCCACCTTTGGAAGAAACCAACCTGATTACCTATAAGTAGTGGTAGCACTCCCATTGCGCTAGATTCGCTTGTATATTAGTGGAACAGGGTGTGCGTTTCTTAGCTTTCCAGAATTGATGTTGAGTATATGTAGTAAAGTGAGGAGCACCGACGGCATTGCACAGTTGAGTGCATTGTTTGATATATATACCATTTAAGTCGTTCCGAGTTGAACGGAAGATCGATGCTAAATAATATGATGTCATATTCGCTGGTATCATATATATAAATTGTACTTGGCTACCCAGATCATCTGAGAAATATAATTACCAGTATTCGAGCGAAGATGTCGTGCATGTAGCCCGAGGATCGGAAAATTCTTCACCACCAAAAGAGAATTTCAACGCGCTGTGTACGTTAAACGAGCAATGGGAATTGAACCCGTTTGAGTCACCTTTGGAGGTGAAATCTCAGCAGAATTACTACTGGTAGCGTCCCACTACGACATATTTTCCTGTATAGAAGGCGCGGGGATTCCTTTGTTAGAGATTTATAAGTTGATAACTGAGGAGACGCTCGACAAAATCGAACGCATGCCTGTTGAAAATGGTCAGATGACGTGCATTCACACCGGAGATTATCTCTATATATAAAAAAGGCAACAATACATTCGCGACAAGCGCGTAATGGGATTCGAACCCATATCTACCACAGTACTACTTAGTAGTATCATCAACAGATGGTTATGGACACAGTACATATGGTTGCATATCCATTCTGCCATATTCGCGTCAGAGATGAATGACGTGGACTGCTCTTTATCAGGGGATAATAGTGCTCGGGGTTTGTATTAAAAAAAATTCAGGAATTTGAGAGCGGATTTTATTACTTCAGTATTTAAGCGTTGATTTTCCTACGGTGTGCCTTGATTTTCTCCACAATATTCTCAAAAAGTCATTATGAGCCGAAGAGAAAATCAAACGAATACAGGGGAATCGAACCCATTACAGACCACATTTGTAAATTGTAAACAATCAAACAAATCATTAGCAGTGGTAGAGCACCCGTTGCGCAATATTCGCCTGTATATTAGTGGAACAGGGGGTATATTTATTAGAGCTTTCTAGACTTGATATTGAATATTCAGTACAGCGAACTTGAAGAGCGTCGACGGCACTACACAGTTGTATGTGTGCTTGATGTATATCCAATTCAAACCGTAACCATATGGTTTTTGATTAATCAACAGGCCTTCTCGAAGGAAATTTTGATTAAACTTTTTGTGATTAATCTCATAGTTTAAACTAGTAGTGTTATGTTAATAGCTTGAATTGTGACCGTTTTTAATGATTAAATAGCAACAAACTGCATACAGGGTGTTATTTAAATGGTCAATAGCCTTTAATTACATAGTACTTAAACACAGTAAATAGAAAAGAAGAATAGATAATTGTCAAGATAACTGAGTGATTAATCACTATAGATCAAACATGACTTGGGGGATTAATTAATTAAAGTGGATTAAACATGGACAGGGAATTGATTAAACATAGATGATAAATTACTGTGTGTAAATGTATTAAATTTCAAAGTTACTCTAGAAAATGTTTAAATAGTTAATGTAGAGTTGAGACTATAAAAGAATATAAACTAAAAACATATCTCAATCATGGTCTAGAATGGTGTGAAGCTGGTGGCAATAGTGATTCAGCGTTGATTTGTGCTGGATTGTTGAACTACTGCAGTGATGGTGGGTTTGGAAAGAGAAGACATTGCAAGCTCAGAGCAGCGCTATTTATACAAAGCTTACAATAAAGAAAATCTAAGGCCACATATCATTGTCGCGGCAACCAGTCTGATTTCGTGGACCTGTGTGTAGCCAAGTGATAACACAATGGTCACAGCTCATCAAACAAAGGGTTCAATTGTTTATGTGCCCTCGCCACTACCATTGTTCTACTCAGTACTGTACACTACATATACAGTCTCTCATGGCACTGAAGTTTGTACTAATTATGTTCCTTCAATGCATGCAAGTCCTTCCTAAGGCTATCAACCAGCAAGCCTTCAGCGACAACATCCTGAGGATTTTGCTAAAAGCAGTGAGTAAATGCATCTTGTTTGGATTCTATTGGAATCTTTATGTTGACACATTGATGTGACACACTGCAAGTGTATTTATTCGTCTTTTTGAACCTAATATCATTCTAACTACATCCTATATTGCTTGGTACACTTTATTCTACTGATATTAGATGATTCTGAATGGTATTGCAGATAGTGAACAGATTCTAGTGTGCAATCCAATGGAAGAAGTCCAATGCACCTTTTGGCTCTTTGTGGGCAACAACACTGGGAAGATTAATCTCTGGAATATAAGGGGTGTGGCGAAAGAGATTGATGAATGATTAATTCAAGATAAAGGAAGTCTCTGTCTCTCAGTGTAAGGACCATAGCTCTTACTGCTATGCTCTTTATATATTCTACTGTCCACTCACGAATTTTTCTTCCTACTATCTTCGGAGCTTCAGTAAGAATTTTTAAGTCTGTTTCAATGATAATAATCGTTTAATTCAATATTTAATCACTCCGGTTTTTGGTCTATACATAATGGTCTGCAACTTGATTAAGGAGTAATGATTAAACAATATGTAATTATCAACTCCTGCCATTTCTAATGCGGATTAATCACAACAAATGATTAATCCAAATTTCCTTTGAGAAGGCCCGTTGATTAATCACAAACCATGAGGATTGTTATTCAAAACTGAAGTCATTCGTTACATCGAACTCGAACGGGAGCTCACTGTTAAATAATGTCAAAAAGCAGCGCTGCAAGATAATTTGAATCGAATAACGGGAATCGAACCCATATTGGCCACCATACAGATGTGTGGGAACGTTGATCACTGTATGGTATGTGCGGCTGCATACCATTCTGCAATATTCGCATGTAGGGTGGATGGTAGAGGTGCTTTTTATCACGAAGTTGGAGATAAAACCACGGCAAATTTTTAATCCCAAGACACTGAGAGCCGATAGACAAGGAGTTGCTAGTAGGTCAGGCATAGACTTCGCTGCAAGTCCCAGCATACGAAAAGAAATTAAACTCAGCAGTAGTCATTTCCCATCCTGCAAAGTTTACCTATGAAGTAAGTAGTTGTTGCCAGAATATACCATACTCTATATGCAGAAAAATATGCTTGAAGGCGTAGTGGGGACTTCCATTTTCAAGGATTTGTATACTAGTGAGGAGTATACTTCTTTACGCAGAGATCTCTTGCATGAGCATCAGAAAATTTTCCACTACTAAAAGATCATAGCGAGGTATACACAAACGAATAACAGGAATCGAACCCATTCAACTACCACTTTTTCAGTTTCTCTTCGACTTAATGCTAGTGGTAGCGCACCATTGCGCCATATTCGCCTGTATGGAAGGTGCGGAGAGTGTACTTTGTTAGCACTTTTGTGAGTTGATTACTGAGAGGACTATTCGATAAAATTGAATGCCTGTTCGAATAGTCAGAAGACGTGCGCGTACATTGGAGATCATCTCTAAAGAAGGGTAAAAAATCACATTGGTCACGCAAGCGAATAATGGGATTCGAACCCATATCGACCACAGTAGCATATACTTGAGCAACAAACACAGTACATATGGTTGCATATCCATTCTGCCATATTCGCCTTATAAGCGAATGATGTGAAGTGCTCTTTATCCGAGGAAGATAGAGGCGTTTGCTTTTTTTCTTCGCGATTTTGAGAACGGTTTTCATTACTTCAGTTTTGGAAGTGTAGATTTTCATACAGTGGTGCGTTGACTTTCTTTACGATACATATATCAAAAAGTCATCGCGAGATAGAGCGTATCCCAAACGAATACAGGGAGTCGAACCCATTACAGACGATTTTGGAACTTGTAAACAATCAAGCAAATAATTGGTAGTGGTAGCGCTCCCATTGCGCCATATTCGCCTGTATAGTGGAAAGAGGGGTACATCTTGTTCGAGCTTTCCAGGCTTGATGTCGAGCATATTCAGTAGAGTGGAGAGCGTCGGGTGCATTGCACATTTGAGTGTGTTGCTTGATGTACAGGATACTGTATATCCAACTGAGGACATTCGTTACATTGAACGGGACATCGCTGCTGATTAATGACAAAAAACGAGAATCTCACAGACACTAGGAAGCGAATAATGGGATTCGAACCCATCTCTGCCACCATCAAAGATACGAGCTAACAGCGTTTGCGTACACTATGTGTGACTGCATACCATTCTGCCACATTCGCACGGAGGGTGAATAGTAAGAGGTGCTTTTTATCACCAAGTAAGAGATAAATGATCTAACGATAAAATAAAATCATCGCGACAGAACCTGTATCAGCCGACCCAGAATTTTAGTGCTTACTATATATGCAGAATATTGACATCGTGTGAGTTTTCAGCCCGCCGTGTTCGATTGAGTAGATATAGGACACGTAGTATGTCTTTAAGGTCTGTAAATGCGTATTTTTCAGTGTCATAGAACGTCAAAATAGTGCAGACCGAAGTACCAGCCAAGTGACAGTCCCTCCAAGTCCGAGAAGTGGAGTCCTGCCAATGACGAGTGGTGCTGACATGGAGCTGTAGATACTTGGGAGTCGGGGGTGTTCGAGGAATACAGTCTAGGAGTTCGAATGTTCACAGGCCTTCGCCGGAACCGCCGCCTCCTCCGGATCGTCATCGTCGTTGAATTAGTTGAAAAATAAGGACTAGGTCATTTTTGTATCAAGAGAATGTGTGGCAATTTTTGAAATGAAATCTGTGGATTCATAATAAGTAAGTCAATCCATAGACAATACGGAGAACCAGATGGGCATGAAAGAGAGAAAGAACGAACACCAGTGCGAGTCGGCGATAAGCTCGGCGCTGTCACCGGCCTGGGCCTCTACACGGCGTTCTGGACACGCTCCCCACGGGGAACGCGATTCGCCACAAAAAGCCAACCCCTACTCTCATTCCTTTCTTCCATCCATCGATTTTGTCTTCATGCTATAACCTATCCAAGATATCATTCACTTTCTTTTTTTTATAAATCCTCAGAAATATAAAGATCATATTTCTGCTGCTCTTCCAGTACGCCCCCGACATCGCCATCAACGATGCCGAACGAACCTACCTCGATGCAGCTTTGTCTGGTAAACAACGATCCTACTTCGACATTGCTCATCACACCCGACGGGGATCCGCTGTATGCCATCGAGACGCCTGCGCTGCCGCAGCATAGTACCAGCGCATGCGAATCTACATCGTCGTTGCCTTCATCGACAATGGCTACCCCAGGCGCAGGCGCATCAACATCTACCTCGTCTCTACCGGCAGTCTTATCTCATTATACAACCAGGCCTCTATCGCGTTCTCCAGGTCCTATGACCCCGCCTAAGGGGATGAGTACATCCCCGTTGAACCTCCCAACAACTCCAGGAACGGGCACGGGCTTGTCAGTGCCAGTTACTCCAGCCAAGCCAATAACGACGATCAGACGGCTCGAGAAATGGCGTGCATCTACCGGACACGTCGAGACGGAGATCGGAGTCGTACAAGATGAAGGTGGGGGTATCGGGACGCGTCTCCAATTGTGTGCTAGCAATCACCAGTTACATATTGGACCTCTTGGTGGCGAAGGTGACGGTGCCCGTGGTCGCTCTAGCTCGGGGTCATCTGGAGGATCTGATGAAGAGAAGAATGGTGGGGCTGTCTGGAAAGGCGAAGGCGTCGAAGTGGAGTACTACGAGAAGTGAGTGCTTTAATCATGCTGAACGTGGGACCTAAGCTTATTATCTATCCATTCCACTTGAAAACTTAGTTCTTGGGAATTCACAGGTCCTGATAGCCAAAAATATAAGTGGCAAATGTTCGTGCACTCGCCTATCGTAAGTTCCCCCCACCCGCTCCCCTTCCTGCCCTTCCCACTAACCATCCTACCTATAGCTAATCCTCAACTCCTCAACCAACCCACTTGTCCTCGCACGCTACCGGCGTGCTAAAATCGGTATCGTCTCGCGCTCAAGACGCGCCTTCCTCGAGATCCTCCCCGCCGGGTTGGGGATCATCGATCTTATTGTGGTGACATTTGTGAGTTTTATGAGGCAAAGGGTGGCGGGTGGGATGGCGCAGCCAGTGGAGGCGGGATGGCAGCAGCATGGGGTAGAAAGCGCAGTGCAGCTTCGGGGCGGGGAGGTCTAAAGGGCTGGAGAGGCTGAGGGTGGCGAGAAGGATTTTCTGTGGTTTGGAGGTATGTCCGTCCTCATCGTTCTCAAACGAGGTGTTAATTCACCATCATAGGTTGTATTGATAATTCTTCCCCGTATGGGGCTAATCGTTCGAGGGCACCAGGGGCGTCTCTCTGTCTTAGACCTTCTGTGAGGGCTCTACGCAACATCATGATTCTGCTAGGACGTTGCGTACCCTTCTGATTCCCCGCAGTACACCACACCTCAACCTTCTACACGATGCCATGCTGTTTGGCAAGTGAACTTGTCTCCTCCCAGCGTTGCCAGATCTATAGCCACTCCCCTTCACAGTGCAACCACGCCACTTTCGGCCTTGTCACGCATTCTCCTCTACAAAAATTAGCAGACCTTCAGGTGCCATCTACTCCCATCCACATCACACCACCACCATCGCACTCGTATAGGCGGGCTAACCACGCCGGCACCAATCTTCTCGATGCAGTGGAACACCCGGCCTTTCCATCTGTCCATCTATCTTTACCTTTACCCAGCGCTAGGGACATCCAGTCCTGTCAGTGAGGGCTTATGTGCGTTACCTAACGTACTATCACAGACAGCAGCCAATTCCTATCTGCTCGGCCTATTCCCCACTATACCATCCAGTGTCACAGTTCATCACCACATCTGACATTTACATCTCTCAAACGGCTCGTCTGACTACGTGGGTTTGATCGTCATCGTCGTCATTGACGCCACGCGTCGACATTTGTCGAGGTACACCTGCATGCATGTCCTTGATAGCAAGGGAGGTTGGGCTTACTACCTCGGGCACTCCCCTTTGGGCACTAAACGGCCTCAGGCGTGCAACTGCGAGCGCAATGCATCTCTAGTCTGCATTCCGTCCTGACATTTTGTCTCCTAGCATGTTGCTATTAGCTCTCGAGAAGCTTCCTCCACTTTATCGTCAATATATCTCATCTCTAGTTTCTGGATTCCTATTTAGGGCGGGTGTTACCTGGTGTTGATTTTATTCATTGATCCTTCCACGCATGTCATTGGCGCTTGTTATCATGTTACACACCAATTCTGATTCGTTCACCTATCCAGTTACTATATTATATACCCCTCCTCTTTTCACTCTATCTCGGTTACTGTCCTGGGTTTATCTATTTGTATTTTCATTTTCGTTTTTTGGGGTTTTTATGTTTGTAGTTATCAATTTTTTGCTGTATCGGAATGGATTAAGTATTCTCTTTCCTACTGGTTGATTAGTGATGTTACGAACATCATCATACTTCCGAAGTGTTCTTCAGTTTTAAATCATTGAAGTTTAATAAGATATGCTACGCGGTAGAGGGCTTTTCGTTTGTGATATATACAATGCTATTTCCTTGAGACTACGCCGAGCAGATATTTTGTCGGTATTCTAAATTAGCAACTATTTTGCTGTATTCTGACCCTTCCCGTAGGTCTCTTTGTCGTTCCTCCTGCTAATAGTATATCATTCGGCTATTCATACTTGATTCGGTGACATTCCTCACCCCTCGAGAGCGTTCACGGTTACAGCAATGATATATAGCTACGCTGAGGAATGTAGAGCCGTTTCTATGAGGGAAAGGTGTGGAACATTTCAGTAACCTCATCTGGACACTGTAATACTGTAGAACCGTTGTCGAGGACGGTCGCGGACAAAAGGATATTCTTTGGATTTCAATACAAGTTTTTGGAGGAAAAACATTTGAAAAGAATAGCTTCCGATACGGGGAATCGAACCCCGAGCTGCCGCGATCATACACTGTGACAATGTCGTGATGAAAGGCGGCAATGTTAGCCGTTACACCATATCGGAATTAGAAGTATTTGTACAATACATGTTCTTTTTGGATGTCTATAAGGTGAAATCGGAAGACCTCCTCTATTTAATACTGATACTTAAAACATTAGCCGCATTCTTAAAGAATGTATCAAAATACAATTTAATTACACGCATATAAACATCACACATAATCATATAATATTGTCTTACTGATTGCCCAAGTTCCTACCGTTGGTTGTGGAAGTTTAGCAGAAGGGAGGCTTGGAAGTTCAATTGGTTGTGAGGATTTACTCTTCACCCAGTCACCAAACATGCGCAAATGAGCCTGTACATATCTTCAACCTCTTTAGCCGCCTTAAACACGCGTTATTACCGCATCCTCAGCGTCATTCAGTACTACATATTGATCTATCACATCCCAAAGACTTGGACTTGGTACAAATAAATCTGTTTGACATACAAGAGACTACATTGCGTGGAATTTTCTTGCGGCCCGCAATAAACCCGAGAGTCTCCGGCTCAAGTCACGAAGAATGCCCATCAAGCATGTTCAACTTTCCCCATATATGAATCAGTCTTCGGTGCGTAATCGTGCTAAAATCCTCCCGGGGCCGCTTCTAGTTGACTGTGAGTTCATCTTCTGGACATCGTGTGCCTTGTGGGAAGTCGTTGTCGCAACTGGGAGACGCAAACTCCGTGCTCCCCGTCCTTCTACCAGGCGAAGCTATATTTGGCGACTCTCACTGACTCTCAGCACTGTGTCAACATTTTCTTTGCCGGTCTCCTTCTTGGGACATTTTTGCCTCGGTATATTTAGCTTTCATATCCCTTATGAAACCTTGCCGAAGCATCACTGGTACTATTTTGATTGTCGATGTATTGTAAAAACTATTCATCATGATAAAGCCCGAGTTAATGTCGTTCCGTTCCGTTGGAGCAACTCTCGTGGTTGATCTACCTTCTTTTGCTCTTCCGCGCTCTTGTTTGACGGTTTTATTTTAGAATCCTCCCTTCGGCGTGTTTTAGTCGTGGTTTCCCGAAATGATACCACCACCCGTTTGGTTTTTGGTCTGACTGACAAGATGCGCTCTCGACTCTTCAAGCATACTTGTTACACATTTTTCTGTCTTTAACCGTTCGCACGTCTACTTGAATTCCATTCCACTGGATCTACTTCCTGTATCCGAGCTGTATTACTGGTTGTCGACAGTTCTTGCTCCTCTCACGACCCTCCGGTTTGAAGCTCTCCACATCTTATTGGTTGTTCATCTTGATGGCTCTCGATGAAAATCGTGAAGAGAATGGTATAAAGAGCGTTGGACATACCTCGAAAGTCTTCAGGACAATCAGTCTTCTGCTTTATCCACCTCTTCAGTCAGACTACAATGGCCTTCGCTCGTCTTTCTGCGATCATCACCCTTGCTCTCGGCGCTGCCCAGTTTGCTAATGCGGCTATCACCAAGTCCGTCAGATGTGCCTCCGGCCATGTGACTGCCAATGCTGCTTGTTGCGGTCAGTCTTTCCTCGTTACATCTCATTCCGCCTATTGCTTATCATTTTCTTAGCCCTGTTCCCCGTTGTCGACCTTCTGCAGTCGAGTCTCTTCGACGGTGCGGAGTGTGGTGAAGAGGCTCATTCGGCTCTTCGTTTATCCTTCCACGACGCCATTGGATTCTCCATTCATGGTTCGTTCAATTCTTATTTGATTGTATGAGATTTTTCTTACAATGTTCGAATTCATAGGTGGAAAGTTAGTACTGTCTTTATGGTAACCCATTTCGATGCTGAATGTTCTATAGGGGTGGAGGAGCAGACGGATCTATCCTCGTCTTCAATGCTACCGAGCTTACGTTCCGTAAGTAAATTATCCTCAAACAGAGAATTTATCTAATCATTCTCCAATTAGACGCTAACGGAGGGTAAATAATATTCATCTTTCAATTAATTTCAGTCTCATGAGACACTCTCTTAGCATTGACGACATTACTGCTGGTCAATTCCCAGTCTTCCAACAATCTGGTCTCACCCCAGGAGACTTGTGAGTTATCTATCCGTACGGAAATATCTAGAACTGACCCTAAACACTTAATTAGCGTCCATTTGGCTGCAGCCGTTGGCACTGCTAACTGCCCAGGTGCCCCCAGGCTCCAATTCATGTTCGGTCGTCCCCCGCCCAAAGCCCCTGCTCCGGATTTGACTGTCCCCGAGCCCACGGACAGCGTCACTGCGATCATTGAGAGGTTTGCTGATGCAGGCTTTTCGTATGCATTCTTTATCGCTTGAATGATGGCGCATCTCTGATCTTTTCTCCGTTAGCCCTGCTGAATTCATCGCTCTACTTTCTTCGCACACCATTGCTGCAGCTGTATGTCATCTTCACAACTACTATTTATAAAAAATCTGACATCGCATTACAGGATGTTGTCGATGTGGTAAGACTAGTAAAATCAGATCCGACATGACTCTTTATACTAAATTCTCACTTATAGACCATACCCGGAACGCCCTTCGACTCGTAAGTTTCTGAACGTCTTAAATATATAACGAGACTTATTTTTCTATTTATTTTAGGACTGTTGGAACTTTGTAAGCTCTCATCTTGTTTTTTCTACAGAAAAATGTCTTAACATGAGCGACAGCGATACTCAAGTCTTCCTCGAGGTCTTGCTCAAGGGCAACTCCTTCCCTGGGTAAGCAGAACCGATATCAGGTTCGACGCCCGGATTCTCATTTATGATTTTCTAGTAACGGCTCCCAGCCCGGTGAAGTCTTGTCTCCTCTCCGCGGTGAAATGCGTCTCCAGAGTGACTTCGAGCTCTCGCAAGGTAAATTGTTGTGGATTGCTGCGTTATTCTCCACGATCTCATAGTATATCGATAGATCCCAGGACTGCTTGCCTCTGGCAGGCCATGGTTAGTAAGTACCGTTTCCCTTATTTATCAGATAGTATGACATCTAACAAAATGACTGCTAGATGACCAAACCCGCATGCAGACGCAATTCAAGGCTGCCATGGCTAAACTGCAGGTTCTCGGCCAGGATGTGAGGAAGATGGTAGACTGCTCTGATGTACGCCTTTCTTTCGACCCACTTTGCGATGAATTGAATAATAATAATTTTTCTGTATTCAGGTTGTTCCAGTCCCAGCAACATTCAAGGGCCCGATCAAGTTCCCTGCCACATTCTCTCAGAAGGATGTTCAGCAAGCGGTATGGAAACGCTCAGACTTCTATGTGCTTCGTTATTGATATTATTTTATAGTGCCCCGAGCTGCGCTTCCCGACTCTCCAGACCGTTGCTGGTCCCGCACCAACCATCCCTCCTGTGTACGCATTTCTATTACTCACATTTCGTCTTTTTTCCTCATACACTATCCTGCAGTCCTGGATCTTAGATTGCAGAATATGCATTTGTTCTGGCAGTTTAGTAATTATTCATCACTGGGTAGAAGTTCATGATTGTTGGTCCCTTTGTCAATGTATACATGCGTTTTTGTATCAAATATATCTATTGTGTTTGCGGTTCATCCCGCTAAAATCATAGCAGCACTCGTAGTCGGATTTGTCTTATACACAAACAACAATGGGTCAGCACAGCATCGATTTGTATTGACAAGCAAGCTGCAATACAAATCCATAAGAGATAGTCTAGGGCTCCAGACAATGAGCGCTTTTCACATACATCGCAGAAATAAAGTGCCTTGTACTCAAAAGTGAGTCTCCTCCACAGTCGCTTTAAAAGACTGACGAAATATTTAAAAGTTCGGGTACGGGGAATCGAACCCCGAGCTGCCGCGATCCGGCTTCTAATGGAAATGAGAGGCGGCAATGTTAGCCGTTACACCATACCCGAATACTAACAAGATGTCTAAACAATCGGTTTGATTATGTTTCGCGGGAAAGCTGGAGGTAGTAGTGACTATTCTTTTAACGATAACTGTAATACTCACTTAAAGTGCATAAATACTAGGCGATAAAATTAAGAAGAACAAATGTCTTCTAACATCACGAAAGTCTCTCATTATCGAACCAGCGGATTCGTGCTCTAAGTTGAGATGAACGTCATTCCCTGGTAGCTTCATAAATATTCTGTCCCAGATAGTGTCAAAATATTGCCGTAATCTTATTTTCGGGATAGTTATTGGAGCCACCAGATTCCGAAAATTCCGCAATAGACGTACCTTTCATCTGCAATTCATCTAGAGACCGCACATAGCTTCGATCTGGCCCTGCAATATTGTGTTTCTTTTTACAGGAACTGTAGTTTGAGAAGAAGTGCACAATCTTCCGAGGGCTATTGCAAACTGGGCACAATTTGTGTATTCCTAGGTCAAATGTTGTTGTGGAGGGATGCCAGTGACTTGTTGGAATATAGGCATTAAGAATACGAGCGAGCACGATCTGAAGTCTGCCCGCAGTCAGTAGTACTTACATTTTTGTGGCCGCTTATTCATCTTGATATATATATAAGTAAAGTACATTTGAACACAGTGTACACTATTCATTTGCCTCACGAACTCACCTAGGCCAATCGTTCACGTCGCTTATCTTAACAGCCATACTTGCTGAAATAAGCGAAGTAAACGTTTGGCCTCGGTGAGCTCGTGAGGCAAACAGATAGTGTACATACTCGAATGTACTCTGCCTATATACGAAATATCTACATACTTATGTAAATATCAAATGATTAATGCAGCCATAAAAATGTAAGTATGACTGCGGGTGGAATCCGGATCGTGCTCGCTCGTAATCTTAGCGCTCATATTCCAACAATACTAAAGGATAATTATATATAAAGCTTTTTAAATATATAGTAGATATACAGATAGAAGGACGAGACTACTCAACGAGATTGCATTAATGAATGCTCAAAAGATCAGCATAGTCACCACTTGTTTGAAGGTGAACTCAGCCACGGAAATTTCTGACAGAGGGCTGGAAATTGTTGCTAATATTTGGCTGGCACCATGTTTAACAAATAAATTTATAAATAGACACGACTAAACCGCTGATTAAAATTGGAATCCTATAAAA